TAAAAAATAAAAAAAACCAGACTGGTAGAGAGTAGTATGTAGAATTATTCCACTGCCTCAAAGGAGGTAGATCTTAGGAGCCTTTGGTAATTACAACTATAAATCAATATTCATCTTCTCTGCCACTCAGTGAATTCATTATGCTTTTCAGTTGAAAGCTGTTATTGGATTTTGAAGTGGAAAGTACAGGTATTGATGATTTCTAATATTAGTTATTACTCAGATGCTAAGTCATGTCCAATTCTTTGTGACCCCATGGACTGCAGCACTCCAGGCTTCTCTGTCCTTCATCTCCCAGTTTGCTCAAACTCATGTCCATTGAGTCGGTGATGCCATCAAACTATCTCATCCGCTGTTGTCCCCTTCTCCTCCTGCCCTCAATCTTTCCCAGCATCAGGGTCTTTTCCAGTGAGTCAGCTCTTCGCATTAGGTGGCCAAAGTATTGGAGTTTCTACTTTAGCATCAGTCCTTCCAATGAATATTCAAGGTTGATTTCCTTTAGGATGGACTGGTTTGATCTTGCAGTCCAAGGGTCTCTCATCAGTTTTCTCCAACGCCATGTATGTATGCGTGCACACACACACACACACACACACACACATATATTAGTATTAGTTATATATATATCAGTAGCCAGCAATATAGTTACAGCCATATCAGATTAACAGTGATTAAGAGTATAGAAAGATTTGGAATTAAAGGCACACATTCTGATTGAACATTATTATCAGTTTTAAGTATAAAATGAAATTACAAGAAAGATCTTTAAAATGAATAGGCAATGTTGGCTTCCCTGGTGATTCAGCTGGTAAAGAATCTGCCTGCAAAGCAGAAGACCTGGGTTTGATCTCTGGGTTGGGAAGATCCCCTGGAGAAGGGAATGCCTACCCACTCCAGTATTCTGGCCTAGAGAATTTCATGGACTGTATAGTCCACAGGGTGGCAAAGAGTCCGCACGATTCAGTGACTTTTACTCACTTCACTTCGTATTTATATGTACTTCAAGCATCCCTCTTTTTACTCTAACTTCCATATGTGTTTTCCTGATGTATGGACAATACCCAAGGAGGTGAGTCATTGATCAATTAACTTGACTGTGTGACTTTGGCAATTGTGTGAGCAGTTGTGTGACTTTGGCAGCTGCCTCTGTTAGCCATACTTTCTGAGGATTCCTCAGAGCCAAGAGCATCTGCCAAGAGGAGTCAAATGCTGCTGATGACCAGGAATTGGATTTGTTACAGATGGAAGTGCTCCAGCCTCTGAATTTGCCAACTCCATTGTTAGAGGAATGTGATAAATGGTTGTGTGCCTCTGCCCTTGTAAGCTGACAAAGATCCAAGCAGCTTAAAATGATAAGCTCCACTGGCTAAGTCTTGGACAGTGGACATCTATCTACAACTGAACCCTAGAAATAAGAAATATATGTAAAGAGACATTTTCCAGATGTTTTTCTTTTAGGGCAGAAATAATAGCCTTTGCATTTGGTTGTCCTGGACACAGTCTCTGGAACTGGCAAGGGGAAATGCTGCAATTGTGTTCCAGGGCATGGAGTGAGAATTCCAGGAATACTGAGCCATTAAAATGAATGTGCTTCAAAAATCCACTTGAAGCTTTTTGATAATGATTGTTGTATTATTGAAGTTTGAGGACTTCTTTCTTCCTTCCTTCCTCTCTACTTTAATGTGGCAGTGGGTTATTTAAGAGAGCAAACTCTAAACTCTTAACTCTTAAAAAAGCATAAAATTTTTTAGCCGGAGCTTAAAAATGCTTAGGGAAAGAAACTACATGAGTAGTATGTATAATTTTTTTATAACAACAACAACAAAAGAATCCCTTATAATCCCAGTTAAGTGTGGTTATAACCTTCCATTTTTCTCTTATTTTTCTGCTATATTTTCCCTATATAAAGGCATATTTACAATAGTCTGTGTGCATATGTACATGTGTACATGTATAATGTGTATATGTGCATGCACACATCAAGGTCACCAAAGATCTCTATATCACTAAATCCAGCAATCACTTCTCAGTCGTCATTGCACATGACCTGTCAATGGTACTTGACGCAAGTGACCACTCTCTTCCTTGAAATCTTTGTTCACTTGGATCCCAAGATCCCATATTCTCCAAATTTTCCCTTCTGTACCATTGGTCTTTCTTTCTTCTTCTGTTTTTTGTTTCTTCCTTCCAAAACTCAGCCCTGGGACTTAGCTTGGATCCAACTCTCTTGGGAATCTTTTCCAGTTCCATGGCTCCAAATACCATCTACCTGCTGAGAACTCCCAAATGTACATCCCCCAGAGTAATTCTCATTTGAACTCCAGGCTCATATATCTCTACTCCATTACACTTGGAAGTCTAACAGGCATCTCAAAGGTGTTCAAATAGAACTCTGAATCCTAGCAAACCATTTTCTACCACTGAAAAAAAAATCTCTTGCCAACTTTTTAAGTTGTAACTCCAAACTGCCAGTTACCTGAGCTGAAACTTTGATGCTATCCTTGATTCTTCTTTTTCCTTTCACATCCCACACCCAATCCATCAGCTAGCCCCCAGTGTATCCAGGATCTGACCACTTCTAACTAATCCACTACCACACTGGTCCAAACCACCATGAACTTTCCCTGAAAGAGTCTCCGGCTTTTTGCATTTGTCCTCTCCAAGACTTGAATGATTCTTCTAAACTTAAATTTGGATCATACCACTTTTCTTCTCAAAACACTCCAGGGGGAAAGAAAAAAAAAAACACTCCAGGGGCTTCCCACACCACCCCGACCAAATGCCAAAGTCCTTGAAATGTCTTATTAACATTTTCTATGTTTTACTTTTTAAATGTAAGAATATGTGGGAGGCAGCACAGTGCTCGGGGTCAGACTGCCTGTGTTCAAAGCCTGGCTCTGGTTATTAGCTGTATGATGCTGGGCTTCTCTGGTGGCTCAGGAGTAACGAACCTGCCTGCAATGTAGGAGCTACAGGTTCAGTCCCTGAGTCAGGAAGATCACCTGCTGAAGCAAATGGCAACCTACTCCAGTATTCTTGCCTGGAAAATCCCGTGGACAGCCCATGGGGATGCAAAATAGTTGGACAGGACTTAGGGACTAAACAACAAAAACATGACGTTGGGCAAGTTACTTAGCCTCTCATCTCAGTGGCTAAATTTCCTCACTGTAAAATGAGATTACTATAATATTAATCTCATAGAACTGTGGTGAAGATTAATGAATTAATATTTATAACATGCTTACAATAGTGCTGGCATGTAGTAAACATTATAAATTTTTTTAAAATGACAAAATTGGCATTTTTGTGCTATTAGCAGAAGATTTTTATCATAAATTCTGCACATAAAAAATGTCTCCAGTAAGAATTTATAGTTACCCCAAACATCTCTCAAAAAATAAGGATGAAATGTGTTTGATGAAACAAATTTAAAATGAACTATAGGGTCAGAAAGAGTCGAACATGACTGAAGTGACTTAGCATGAATGCATGCATCCTTGTTTTATTCTTCTTGTTTATTCTGAGTTCAGAGTTAGAATTTATTACACACCATGACTTATGTTTTTAAACATTTTGGTGCTTTTTAAGCATCCTGATACTAAATTGCTTATTCATTCACCTACTTCCTAACCAGCAATGCTTTAATTCCTAAAATAGGTGTTTGGGGTTTTTTTTGTTTATTGTATAGATTGGTTTATAAGATACACTTTATTTTTTTTTTGCTCTACTTATGCCTTTTATTAATGCACTGAAGTGAAACAATTCAATCTACACTGATAAAATAAACAAAAGCTTAAGATGCATTCCTACATATACCTATTAAATATTATGGGTACAATAGGGAGAGTAAGTCACGTGGAATTTCCATAGAAAGTCATATAATTAATTGATTTTGTAGAGGAAAAACACTACAGACTCAATATTGAACAAGGCTTTTATCAATTTAAATCTGTCTGTGGAGGGAGGGGGAAAGAATCCCTAGCCAGAGCCTAATAGCTCTGTTCTCTGATAGCTATGAGCCTCATAGATCAGTTCTTACATCCATTTTACACTTTTAATACTTCATTATAACTGAAGAATAAAGAACACTCACAGACCACCCCCCTCCGCACAACACACACACACAGCAACACAACATTTATTCATACCCTTCTGGAATTGCATTATGATCCACAGAGGATAGAAGGCCTTGGACTCACAAGAAAACTTGTGCAGATTATTTCAAGTGGGAAGACCTCTTTGAAAAGAGGTCAGACACACATTTGAATAGAAGGTAAGTCACAGTGTTTGTCCATAAAAACAAAAGGGACTTAGGATTTGTGGAAAAAAAATGTGAATGGGTCATAAAATTTATTCAAGGGTGTATAAATGAGAGATTTTTTTTAAAAAACTTTTTCTTTTGGATTGACATATAGCCAATTAACAATGCTGCGAATAGTTTCAGGTGAACAATGCAGGGACTGAGCCATGCATAAACATGTATCCATCCTCCCTCAAGCTCCCCTCCTGTCCAGCCTGCCACGGGACATTGAGCAGTGTAAGATCTCTTTTTTTGACAGCTGAGTTTAACTTTTAGAATATGTGGTGTGATGTTTTGTTAATTCTGGAAAAGTCTTGTGGTTCTAAATGAAATTGTGGTGTAAACTGGTCCTATTGCTGGAACTGTTAAAGGCCTCTGCGTGTTGAGGTGGACTACACATGAGCTTCCGGGCAAAAATAAACTTCACATATTTGCCAACAGCAAAATCTCTCAGACTCAACAACTATGCAGCTATGGAGAATTCCTTTGAGGATGTGAGGGGGAAAACAGTACCATTGAGCCTATACATTAGAAACACAAATTGACAACGAAACCTTGCTTAAATCAATATTATTGTGAAATTTATCATGTCGTGGTATTTACATGTATAAAAGATGAACAAATGAATAATGCCCTTCTAGAATATCATTCTAATTCCTGTTGAATAACACTTTTCCTCACTTCTTTTTAATTTTAAAAGAAAATTGGCCTTAAAACACCATCCAGACAAGAATCCAGATGATCCAGGGGCTGCTGAAAAGTTTAAGGAAATCAACAACGCCCATACAATTCTTACTGACGTGTCAAAAAGAAACATTTATGACAAGTACGGATCACTGGGACTCTATGTGGCTGAGCAATTTGGAGATGAAAACGTTAATACCTACTTCATGCTGTCAAGCTGGTGGGCAAAGGTGAATTGGATTTTTTGTTTCCCTTGAAAAAAATTTCCTGAAAGGTCATGATATTATTCACTCTTTCAGACTCCATCCTAAAGAAAGCCTAACCTTAGTATATTACTAAACTCTTATTAATAAAAAAGCTATCACTTTGACTGAAAGCTGTTATGGTATTTAAGGATCATTTTTGCTTTAGCTTACCAAGTGATAAAATACAGCAGGACTTAAAAGACTTCTAGACATTAATTATGTTTGAATTTGATGCTTCAGGTTAATTCTGACTGCCCTCCCTATTCCCATAATGACTAATTAAAACTGACTCATTGCTAAAAACCAAAAATAATTAATTAGTGTGACAACTGTTTAAAAATTATTATGGGACAAATTTAGCTATGTACTTTCCTGTCTATAGCACAGGCTACATCAGGGAACACAATGCTAGGGAGAATGCATGGAAATCATGTCATAGGTTCATGTGAAGCCTGATGTGGGGCAGTGGAGAAGGAAATGAGGGGGAAAGGTGAGAATGAAGTAGTGGAGGACACTGAGTTGGAGAGACAGAGAGGAAGAGAGAGGGAGAAAAAGGATATCTAGTCAAGAGAAAGGCAGCATTGTTAGGACTTAGTGCAATCAGAATTGACTTTTGACAGTAGTGTGATTTCCTAGGAATTCCTCAGATAGGCATGTTTGATGATAGTTTCATATTTGTTTATGAGTATTCAAGGCTTCCCAAGTGGTGCTAGTGGTAAAGAATCTGCCTGCCAGTGCAGGAGCCAGAGGAGACCCGGATTTGATCCCTGGGTCTGATCCCTGGACCAGGAAAATCCTCTGGAATACGAAGTGGCAACCCAATACCCCAGTATTCTTGCCTGGAGAATTCCATGGACAGAGGAGCCTGGTGGGCTACAGTCCTTGGGGCCACAAAGAGTCAGACACAACTGAGCACACACACACACGAAGATTCATATCCTTATCTTATGATTACAGTATATTTACATTTGAATCATACGTATAGTCCATTGGCAGCTTTTTTTGGACAGTTTGTGTACATATAGTAAGTTTATGGTTCATACATCTTGTGAAATCACATGAGCTCCCATGTAACATGAAATCACATGTTACAACTCAATTCACATGAGTTGTAACAAATCATTTAAGAAGCTACAGATCTCCAGAGTCAGGAGTCATGTTCAGTAGTACTCTGATTGCCACCTTCTTCCACAAAAATAAATCTTGCTAAATTGAGTGGTTGTACATATGCAGGATGAGAGAGGATACCCCTGGTGGCTCAGACAGTAAAGAATTTGCCTGCAATGCAAGATACCTGGGTTTGATCTCTGGGTCAGGAAGATCCCCTGGAGAAGGGCATGGCAACCCACTCCAGTATCCTTGCCTGGAGAATCCCATGGATAGAAGGGCCTGACAGGCTATAGTCCATGGGATCGCAAAGAGTCAGACATGACTGAATGACTAACACTTTCACTTTCATGGGGAGAGCAAGTCTGCAGCCTAAAGCCTCCTTTGCCTTCTGCAATCCTCAGAATTCCTTTTCTTGGGGATAAGTGGGGTTCCCACTGAAACCCCCTTTCTTTACTATTGAGGACTTGGGAGGGAGACAAATTTCTGCCAAGAGGATGTGGAACTTGGAATGAGAATGTAAATATTATCAATGTCATTTATGATGATAGAGTGAATGTTTATGTAAAATACAGGTCTTTGTGGGCTTACCTGGGAACCTAACCTCCAGATATGACATAATGTCCATGGGAAGATATGTCCAGAGTTATAGATAATTAAACACTAGTACCTGATTGCATATTGGAGCCTACCTGCATAAAAAGGAGAATCGATTCCCTTGTCCAGAAGTTGACAAAATTGATCAAAATTCATAGAGCTAAGCAGAAGCTGTTAAGTAGTGTAAGAGATACATGTGCTAAGTTGCTTCAGTCTTGTCCAACCTTTTGCAACCGCCAGGCCCCTCTGTCCATGGGATTCTCCAGGCAAGAATACTGGAATGGGTTACCATTTCCTTCTCTAGGGAATCTCCCCAACCCAGGGACTGAACCCCCATCGCTTATGTCTCCTGCCGTGGCAGGCAGGTTCTTTACTACTAGCACCACTTGGGAAGACCAGTGTAAGAGATATACATAAAACAATTCCTGATGTGGTTCTTTAAAAATAAGGCTACAAAAAAAATCTACCTTCCCTTCTGCTGTGCCAAAGCATCATTGCACAGTATCCATCAGAGTGCCCCAGCACATGATGATCATGTTTTAAGTACACACTACATGTATGAATCAGAGTACCGATTTGAAAATGTGTATTTGAAAAACAATGAACACCTACTTGTATCTTATACTACACTAAGCTCTGTGAGGATAAGGCAAGGTTATTTCTAAAATAGGCAAGCAATCCAGCTGGAATAACTGAAGAACAAAACATGTATTAAAGGAAATTTTCAGAGAGGAGAAAAAACTTGGGAATGGAATAGGAAAAGCAAAAAAGGACAAGAGTAGGTAAAGAGGGGGTAGCATGTTGGGGGAACAGCTCTAGAACACTGCACAGGAGGGTCTTAGAGGCTGTTGGTGAGGAGGAAGCTTTTTTGTACTTTTCAGACTAATTTAAGAAATTTACAACTCTATGAAAATGCAGAGAATTCACAGCAAAAAAAACTGTAGGTGTGAGGGTGTATGAAATCACTTCCAATTTCAAATACCATATTTTTAATAAAATTGTAAACTTATTTTGCTCAGTTAACAAAGGTGGCCTTGTTTTCACTGCAGATTAGATTAGGAGAGTGTAATCTTTTAATCTTTAGCTATGGTGAGTTTAGTGAGGAAACTTTTTATATGCTTGTGGGGAAATCCTGGTGTTGTGCACTAGGAGGAAAAAAATCGTTTGTTTATCTACTAATCAATAATCAATCAATACATTCATTCATTCAGTAGGTATTTCTTGTCTACCACACACCTAATACTAAACCTGGAGGTAGAGAAGGGATTGAAAGATGACTAATATATAGTTCTAGCCTTCAAGAGGCTCATGGTCTGAGACAGAATTATAAACTGATCATTGTCTTAAACTTTTCAGAATAACTGAAAAGTTTTGTCTTGTCAACAGAACAAGACTATGGTGGACATTTGTATGGAGTGTGGTTGGGGCACAGAGGGAGTAACTGTTCTGGTGCATGAGTGCTAAGTTCACTTCGGTCGTGTCCAACTCTTTGCGACCCCATGGATGTAGCCCACCAGGCTCCTCTGTCCATGGGATTCTCCAGGCAAGAGTACTGGACTGGTGTGCCATGCCCTTCTCCAGGGGCAATTGTTCTGGGGGAGGTGAGCTTTCCGGAAAGATGTTGGAGAGGATGTTGCTGAGATAAACTTACACACAGAGTGGTATCTGTTCGATGACTAGGGGGAGGGGCAGGGGATGTCCAGGCAGATGAGTCCACAGGGAGAGCAGAGCTACGGCAAATACGGCAGGAGGGGAGCCACGCTGGTGCAGAGGAGGCACTGGGAGAGGCCAGATGACCACTAATAAGGAGCTCCAGCCTCTTCTAAAAGGCAAGTAGAGTTGCTGCATGGGTTCACGAGAACACGCATGTCAGAAAATTCCAGCAGCAATGTGCAGACTGGGTTAGAGGCAAGAGTGGCCACAGGTAGGTCAGTTTTGAGGCTACTGAAGTGTCCAGAGCAGAGATAAGGGAAAGTGAAAGTCGCTCAGTTGTTTCTGACTTTTTGCAACCCCATGGACTATACAGTCCATGGAATTCTCCAGGCCAGAATACTGGAGTGGGTAGCCTTTCAGGATAAAGGGCTCTGTTCTAAAGCCCTACCACTCAGGATACAGATGGTGGGGGTGTGTGGGGGGGTGCGGGACAAAGGTCCCAAGGAGGTCTGCAGGACTTGGTGACCGAGAGAATAAGGTGGCGGCAGGGCTGGCTATCCATGGCTCTTCTTTGGTGAGAGTGGGTCAGTGTCTGTGGTCAGCTCATCTGACCTGTACAGGGTATGTTTTCCGGTTTGTTTTGTTTGCTTTGCTCTTAATAATGATCACCGTGACTTAAGAAAAAGAAGAAAATGTCATACCTCATGACTTTGACTGCAAGTCACTTGTTCCTGGCTTGTTAGGCAAAACTTTATGAGAAATTTGTTTCCTAGGAAACAGAAAAGATAGTCCTCCACGGAATAAGGAATGAGGGTGAATATGCAGTTTGTGAGATGAGAACTGTGATGCCTCCAGGTCTCTGGAGGTACACAGTCAAAACACTTGATTTCCGGGATCTCTTACACCCCTGTACCCCTCACCCCTGTTTTGCTTTGCCGCTCTTTCCTCTAGACTCTGTTTGTCATCATCGGCCTCTTGACCGGCTGCTATTTTTGCTGCTGTCTGTGCTGCTGTTGCAACTGCTGCTGTGGACGCTGCTGGACTAAGTCATCGATGCCAGAAGACGACTTCTACGTGTCTCCAGAGGATCTCGAGGAGCAGATCAAGACAGACACAGCAAAAGGTGGAGTGAGACGAGAATAGAGCAGTGGGTGTCCCTTCACGTGCCTGGCCAAGCACCAGGTCCCATGGTGATGGTCATTGCCAAAGTGAGAGAGATGCAACGACCAAACTGGGGGAAGAATCCCACAGACTTTTTCCTTTGGTACCTGATTTGAGGAAGATAAGAGGAATTTATCTTTACCAGTCACAGAAAAAAAGCACAAACTGACACTGAAAGAAGTCATGAGATATGCTGATCACAAAGCAAAGGTTCATAGTCACATTATGAGAGAGTGAACCATGGGTCCAGGGAGGCTGGGTGGGAATCCCAGGGGTAGGACAGCCAAGGTAGATATTTACCCGAGGAAAAGCACTTCAGTCTGTTAGTTTAGGTTCATGCTGTGCTCAGTCATGTCTGGCTTGGACTATAGGCCACCAGGCTCCTCTTTCCATGGGATTCTCCAAGCAGGAATACTGGAGTGGGTTGCCATGCCCTCCTCCAAGGTATCTTCCTGACCCAGGGGTCAAACCCATATCTCCTGTGTCACAGGCAGATTCTTTACCATTGAGCCATCAGGGAAGCCCTGTTATGTTAGGATCTCTATTCAAATAGAAGGGAATGGACATCAAGAGAAGTCAGCAACCCTTGACTTTTCTTCTTTTTGATTACTTTGAAGACTGCATTTGGGTAAAACTGGTGGAGGGTAGCCTTCCCTGAAATTCGGGTTCTTTCATATCCACACATTCAGAGCTAGCTTCGAACCAGCATCAAGCATGTCATCCTACAAATGGGACTGTTTGCTAGACCACCTCCATGTGTTTATCAGTGTGTATGCATGGCCATGGTATATTCCTTGATTCCTCAAGTTCACTCATTGAACAAAAAAATGTGAAGAAAGGTAAAATCTCATAGAATTCACAACATCAGGAATACTCCATACTCTCTGGGAAATGCCTTTGTTTAAACAAACTGGAGTCAAACCTGTCATTGTCCTCTCTGTCTTGCAGTCATATGCCACTGTCATTTTCTCCTGCAGAATGGATCATTATTCTAGATAACAGGCTTTATCACTAAGTCACAGAGCAGCTTGGAAATAAAAGAATTACTTGATAATTAGGCAGTGATCCCCGGAGGAGGGCATGGCAACCCACTCCAGTATTCTTGCCTGGAGAATTCCATGGTCAGAAGAGCCTGGTGGGCTACAGTCCGTGGGGTTGCAAAGAATCAGACATGACTGAAACAACTGAGCAAGCACTCGGACAGTGATGCAGGATGCACTTCTGTGGACTGATTCTTTTGATGACAATAAAGCACAAATTCCATGACATGAGACAGAGCAGAGACTGTTTAAAGGTTTTGAGGTACTTTTAATTTCCTATCAAATGTGATGCTAAGTAATATCCAATTATTACCCACCCTGACTCCAACTTAAAGGAGTCATGTGAACCTGGCTTGGTCTCAGACCATTTCATGGTTGGGATATCAGAAGGGATGTCTATGCCAGCTGTGACTCCTTCCTATAGGGACCAGTGGGTAGCCAGTGTGGCAGATGGCGTTTGCTCCTACCATTTTTTATTACTGCCCCTGTGGCCAAATTGTAGGCCCAGGGTGAAATACAACTTTCTTTTGCTTAATTTGGGATACAAAAGGACACATATTTAATTGGGCCTACATACCAAAAAAGAGCAAGCAAGCTATATTATTCGCGAATAGGCTAAACAGAAATATATATGTGTAAACTCTTCTTCAGGAAAGAGCCAGGGACTTTGGCGTGACTTGCTTAAGAATGATGAGCCCAGTGGACTTCCTTGCTGGTTCAGTGGTTAAGACTCCATGCTCCCAGTGCATGGGACACAGGTTCGATCCCTGGGTAGGGAACCTAAGATCCTCCATGGGTATGAAGATTAATGAGACCAATGATTTTTCACATCTGCTCTTTGAGGGAGATAAACTGACATTCAGCCCTGCCCATCAACAGAAAATTGGATTAAAGAATTACTGAGCATAACCCCACCCATCAGAACAAGACACAGTTTCCCCCACAGTCAATCTCTCCCATCAGGAAGTTTCCATAAGCCTCTTATCCATCAGAGGGCCAACAGAATGAAAACCATAATCACAGAAAACTAACCAAACTGATCACATGGACCACAGCCTTGTCTAACTCAATGAAACTATAAGCCATGACATGTAGGGCCACCCAAGATGGATGGGTCATGGTGGAAAGTTCTGACAAAATGTGGTCCACTGGAGAAGGGAACGGCAAACCACTTCCATATTCTTGCCTTGAGAACCCCATGAACAGTATGAAAAGGCAAAAAGATAGAACACTGAATGATGAAGTCCCCAGGTCAGTAGATACCCAACATGCTACTGGAAAACAGTGGAGAAATAACTCTGAAAAGAAAGAAGAGACAGAGCCAAAACAAAAACACCCAGTTGTAGATGTGACCAATGATGGAAGTAAATTCCAATGCTATCAAGAACAATGTTGCATAGGAACCTGGAATGTTAGGTCCATGAATCAAGGCAAATTGGAAGTGGCCAAACAGGAGATGGCAAGAGTGAACATCGACATTTTAGGAATCAGCAAACTAAAATGAACTGGAATGGGTGAATTTAACTCAGACAACCATTATGTCTACTACTGTGGGCAAGAATCCCTTAGAAGAAATGGAGTAGCCCTCATAGTCAGCAAAAGAGTCCGAAAGGCAGTACTTGGAGGCAATCTCAAAAACAACAGAATGATCTCTGTTCGTTTCCAAGGCAAACCATTCAATATCACAGTAATCTAAGTCTATGCCCTGACCAGTAATGCTGAAGAAGCTGAAGTTGAATGGTTCTATGAAGACCTACAAGACCTTCTAGAACTAACACCCAAAAAAGATGTCCTTTTCATCATAGGGGACTAGAATGCAAAAGTAGGAAGTCAAGAAACACCTGGAGTAACAGGCAAATTTGGCCTTGGAGTACAAAACGAAGCAGGGAAAAGGCTGACAGAATTTGTCAAGACAATGCTCTGGTCATAGCAAACACCCTCTTCCAACAACAACAAGAGAAGACGCTACACATGGACATCACCAGATGGTCAATACTGAAATCAGACCGATTATATTCTTTGTAGCCAAAGATGGAGAAGTTCTATACAGCCAGCGAAAACAAGACTGGGAGCTGACTGTGGTTCATATCATGAACTCCTTATTGCCAAATTCAGACTTAAATTGAAGAAAGTAGGGAAACCCACTAGACCATTCAGGTATGACCTAAAAATCAAATCCCTTACGATTATAGTGTGGAAGTGAGAAATAGATTCAAGGGATTAGATCTGATAGACAGAATGCCTGAAGAACTATGGACAGAGGTTCAGGACATTGTACAGAAGGCAGTGATCAAGACCATCCCCAAGAAAAAGAAATGCAAAAAGGCAAAATGGTTGTCTGAGGAGGCCTTACAAATAGCTGAGAAAAGAAGAGAAGCTAAAGGCAAAGGAGAAAATGAAAGCTATACCTATCTGAATGCAGAGTTCCAAAGAATAGCAAGGAGAGATAAGAAAGTCTTCCTCAGTGATCAGTGCAAAGAAATAGAGGAAAACAATAGAATGGGAATGACTAGAAATCTCTTCAAGAAAACTAGAGATACCAAGGGAACATTTCATGCAAAGATGGGCACAATAAAGGACAGAAATGGTATGGACCTTACAGAAGCAGCAGATATTAAGAAGAGGTGGCAAGAATACACAGAAGAACTATACAAAAAAGATCTTCATAACCCAGATTATCACAATGGTGTGATCACTCATCTAGAGCCAGACATCCTTGAGTGTGAAGTCAAGTGGGCCTTAGGAAGCATCACTATGAACAAAGCTAGCAGAGGTGATGGAATTCCAGTTGAGCTATTGCAAATCCTAAAAGATGATGCTGTGAAAGTGCTGCACTCAATATGCCAGCAAATTTGGAAAACTCAGCAGTGGCCACAGGACTGGAAAAGGTCAGTTTTCATTCCAATCCCAAAGAAAGGCAATCCAAAAGAATGCTCAGGCCACCACACTCATCTCACACGCTAGCAAAGTAATGATCAAAATTCTCCAAGCCAGGCTTCAACAGTATGTAAACTGTGAACTTCCAGATGTTCAAGCTGGATTTATAAAAGGCAGAGGAACTAGAGATCAAATTGCCGAAATCTGTTAGATCATCAAAAAAGCAAGAGAGTTCCAGAAAAACATCTATTTCTGCTTTATTGACTATGCCAAAGCCTTTGACTATGTGGATCACAACAAACTGTGGAAAATTCTTAAAGAGATGGGAATACCAGACCACACGACCTGCCTCCTGAGAAACCTGTATGCAGGTCAGGAAGCAACAGTTAGAACTGGACATGGAACAACAGACTGGCTTCAAATTGGGAAAGGAGTACATCAAGATTATTGTCACACTGCTTATTTAACTTATATGTAGAGTAGATCATGTGAAATGCTGGGCTGGATGATGCACAAGCTGGAATTAAGAAAGCCAGGAGAAATATCAATAACCTCAGATATGCAGAATGACACCACCCTTATGGTAAGCAAAGAGGAACTAAAGAGCCTCTTGATGAAAGTGAAAGAGCAGAGTGAAAAAGTTGAGTTAAAACTCAGCATTCAGAAAACTAAGATCATGGCATCTGGTCCCATCACTTCATGGCAAATAGATGGGGGAACAGCGGAAACACTGAGAGACTTTATTATCTTGGGCTCCAAAATCACTGCAGATGGTGACGACTGCAGCCATGAAATTAAAAGATGCCTGCTCCTTGGAAGAAAAGCTATGACCAACCTAGACAGCATATTAAAAAGCAGAGGCATTACTTTGCCGACAAAGGTCCGTCTAGTCAAAGCTATGGTTTTTCCAGTAGTCATGTATGGATATGAGAGTTGGACCATAAAGAAAGCTGAGTGCTGAAGAATTGATGCTTTTGAACTGTGGTGTTGGAGAAGACTCTTGAGAGTCCCTTGGACTGCAAGGAGATTAGACTAGTCCATCCTA